GCTGATCACAGAGAAGCTGGTGCTCATCCCACATCTTACTCAACACCTGACCTGAGCCTGTGGGGATGGTGCCACTCACCTCAGGGCATGTCTTCCCTCCTCAACCAGACCGTCCTGGAAGCATCCACACAGACATATCCAGAGGTGTATTTCCACAATGATGCTAAATCCAGTTGTATTAACAATGTTGCAAGGAACCAACAGCTTGTTTGTCCCGGCCACTATGTGAAATAAGCACATAGAAACTGAATTAATTAAATCACAGCTTGGCCCACTAGCGCTAGCTTCTTATTGGCTAACTCTTACATCTTAATTTAACTTGTTTCTATTATCTGTATATCATCACGAGGTCGTGGCCTACCAGCAAAGTTTCAGCATGTCTATCTATGGTGGCGGCTCCATGGCGTCTCCTCTGATCTGCCTTCTTTCCTGCATTCCGTTTAGTTTTCCTTCCTAGCTCTGTTCCCATACAGCTCTGCTATAGGCCCAAAGAAGTCCCTTTATTAACCAGTGAAAGCAAAGCATAGACAGAAGGATCTCCTACAACAACAGAATTTGCATGAAATTTATTGAAATTACTTAACTGGTTGCAGTCCAACTAACCCAACAGTGGCTACCTGTGATTGGAAAGTTCAAGAATCTGGTAGCTGCTCAGTCCCATAAAGCTGGGTGTCTCAACTGCTCTTTTGTATATACTGGAATCCTGAATGCCACTGAAGAATGTACTGACAAGGGCTGGAGAGATGGCTCAGCGGTTAAGGGCATTGCCTGCTCTTCCAAAGGTCCTGAGTTCAATTCCCGGCAACCACATGGTGGCTCACAACCATCTGTAATGAGGTCTGGTGCCCCCTTCTGGCCTGCAGACATACATGCAGACAGAATATTGTATACATAATAAATAAATAAATATTTTTTAAAAAAAAGAATGTACTGACAAAAGAGAGGTGAAGAATGAACCACACCCCATTCCTTCTTCCCTTGTCCTTATATACACTTCCAGCAGAAGGCATGGCCCAGATTAAAATTGTGCCTTCCAGCCTCAAGATATGGATTAAAGGCATGTATCATCCAACCTCAAGATCCAAATGAAATCATGTGTCTTCCTACCTCAAGATCCAGATCACAAGTGTGTCCTTCATTTCCAGATTGTAGTTTATTTCAGATATGTAACATGAAGGGCCTGCTTGTTGGGGTATCTGTCCTGCCCGGTACCCAACAGCCAGCAAGCCCCAAAGAAAATCACACAGAGGACTCCATAAGATTATAAACTGATTGCCCCATTAGCTCAGGCTACTTATTAGCTCTTGTAGCTTATATTAACCCATTATCCCTATCTATGTTAGCCACATGGCTTGGTACTTTTCTCAGCGGGGCAGCTCACATCTTGCTTCTTTGGAGTCTGGGCAGGTGTGCAGAGGAAAGGGCTTCCTTCTTCCCAGTATTCTCCTGTTCTCCTCACCCTGCCTCTACTTCCTGTCTGGTTGACCCACCTATATTTCCTGCCTGGTCAATCAGCGTTTATTTAAAACATGATTGACAGAATACAGACAATTCTCCTGCACCACGGATATAGTCAAACGTACAGTCAAAACAGCTATCACACCAGTTAAGTTCAGTGATAATTTGACACCACAGTAAGCCATGAGATTTCTAAAACACTGCTTTAGCATAAAGGCAGCCGTCCATAACACCTAGACAAATAAGTGTGGCTGTGTTCTAATGAAGTTATATGGATAGATAAATTAGGATGCCAGGACCAAGCATGGTGGCACATATCCTTGATCCCAGCACTTAGTAGGCACAGGTAGGCAGATCTCAGTGAGTTTGAGTCCAGCCTGGTCTATATGTAGCAAATTCCAGGCCAGCAAGGGATACAAAGTGAGACCTCAAAAAGTAAAAATTGATGGGCATAGTGGTACACACCCCTAATCCCAGCACTTGGGAGGCAGAGGCATAAAAATAGTTGTGAGTTCGAGACCAGCCTGGTCTATAAAGTGAACTCCAGAACAGTCAGGACTATATAGAGAAAACTTGTCTCATTACCACCTGCAAATAATAATAAGAACATAATAAAATTATGGGTCAAGCAGGTAGGGGTGTCATATGCCTGTAATCCCAGCATGTGGAAGGAAGAGGCAGGTGGATCTCTGTGAGTTCAAGGCCAGCCTGATCTACAAAGGAAGTCCAGGACAGCCAGAGCTGTTACACAGAGAAACCCTGTATTAAAAACAATGAAGCCAGGCGGTGGTAGCGCATGCCTTTAATCTCAGCCCTCGGGAGGCAGAGGCAGGCAGATCTCTGTTATGAGAACAAAGGCTTTGAGGATGAGAATGTCTTGGCACTGGATAAAAGTGACGGATGATAAAAGTGACACTTTGATCCTACCCAATGCCACTACCTACCTTAAAACAATTAATAGGCCAAAATGTGGTAATGTGAATTTTAATTCAACATGCAGGAAGTAAACTGTACTAAGTACCCACTTTGTCACCCAGCTGCAATCCCGAATCTATGAGCCACTCTTTTTTTTTTTTTAAATATTTTTATGGTTTATTTAACTTTATTGTATGTGCATAGATATGAAAGTGTCAGATCCCCTGCAACTGGATCTTCAGACAGTTGTGAGCTGCCATGTGGGTGCTGAGAATTGAACCTGGATCCTCTGGAAGAGCAATCAGTGCTCTTAACCACTGAGCCATCTCTCCAGGCCCATGAGCCACTCTTTCAACAGTGCCAAATGGCTGAACAAGAAACTGTGAGAGTGGATTTTCTTTACTGTATAAACCCAATGTGGTTTTGACTTTTATTATTTTTTTTTTAAAATAAGCTCACAGAGCTCAGGTTGGCTTTGGAATTCTTATGAACCTGGGGCTAGTATTATGTATGCTCAAACTTTGTTAACAAGCAGTGTTGTGACAGAGAAAGTATAATAGACTATGTAAGTCTGAGGACTGAAAAGCCAATTACCCTTATAGACCAAGTTGCTGGGCAAACTATCTATTATCTATCTATCTATCTATCTATCTATCTATCTATCTATCTATCTATCTATCTATC